AAACAAAAAGTTCCCAAACCCCAAAACCTCAAACCCCAGACTTCCTCATTATGTTACAGAGGTGCATAACCCGAGAAATCACCAGAGAGCATACTGCTTCCCTGCTGCCTGCTGCACAGGCTCGAGAGATCTTCAGAATGGGAGCATGGGGCTTTGCCTGGGGTGCACAAGCAGCCACACAGTTGAGAGTTCAACTGGAGAAAGAGAACCAGCACTGGACAGATGTGTTTGTCCTTGTCCACCCATTGCAAGATGTGTAATTGGGATGACTGAAAGAAAGTTGACAGCACTTCCCAGGACCACATTTAGGCACAGAAAAAACACACAGCTGGCCAGGGCAGTCAATGTTCCACGGCATCAGTGCTAAAAAGTGTGATGAAAGGGTGTCTCAGATACAGACATTGCCCAGCAATCCAGACAGTCATGAGCGAGCACATCCTTGTGGTCCAACCACTTCTGGCAAGATATCTCCATAGAAGTGTGGAGCTACAGCCCCCTGATAGCAACAGCTGCCCTTAAACACTATGCCTAAAGTGGTGCAGGATCAGTAAATGCAACTTTGGTGCAGTTAATCCTAGCCTTCCTCCTCCCCAGCCAAATCTCTGGGCTGCATGGCTCACCTCAACTCGCTTCTTCAGCTTCTTCATTCCTGCAGTGTGAGGGGCCAGAGGGTGAGCAGAGCTCCTGGTTTGGATGTGTCTGCTGCAGGAGTGGGTGGGATACTGCCTAACTCTGGCAACTGATCTGCTGGAGAAAGGAGATCAAGGGAGGTAAAAGACTTGGGGAAAGGGGAAAGACAGACAGATGCACAGAAACTCTGTCTTCCTTTATTTTCCTGAACTCCATTTGATTCTCTGTGACATTTCCTATGGCCCTGATTTTATTACCCTGGCCACTTCCCCCCTCTCCCTTCTCCATGAAATGCAGGCCGTTGCTACCACAAAATCGAGTGCTTTTCTTCTAAAGATGAGGACAAATTAAAGTGGTTTTTTTTCATTCTTTGTGATGAGAAGTCCTTTCTTCCACCTTTACGGCACACTAAGTGTTATAAAAACACCTACGTGGATAAGTATGAAGCTTTTTTTAATCTGGAAGTGGAGTGAAACTTCTGACAATGGACTACTTCTTCCTCTGAATGACTATCATGGGCCCAGACCTGAAGTCTAAACTTACAGTTGTTTTGTCTGTTGACACCTTTAATGTGATAGGGATAGTGGTAGTGAGTCTTACCAAAAAGAGTTTCTTCTGTGACTAAATATATTTTTTGGTAAAATACCCACCTATTCTTATTTGCTTATTTCCACTGTTCACTTCATAACTATGCTTCAGAAAAACTTTATCACATTTTTATCCTCTCCTCCCATGAAAGTGAGCTCCCGTGATTTGGTCCTTACAAAATCCACCATTGCCTTAGACCTTTGCCTCTGAAACCACGAAAGACCAGGCCAGGGTCTGTTGATTCTCTCATGATTACTGTTTCTAGAGATGACTGGAGCTTTTTTAAGTTTTGGATCCTCAAGTTGAGTTGTTCATTTCTTCGATCAATACCAAGTTACTGACAGACGTGATCAAATGCATGAACACAACCATAGTGTGTCCCTTAATACATTGCTTTTCAGTTCAGGCCTTGTTCTATGCTTCTAGAACTGCATGAGAGCAGAAGTGGAGCTGGTTCAATTTTTATTTTTGTAGAAAACAATTCTACAGTCCAAAAAGTTGTTAATACGATGAGTAGACTTTCTGTGCTACACCTGTTCCCTTTACCATATGAGCTGCAGAGGAGAAAGCAGGTCAGATAACCACTTTAGGGTGTTGACTGGTCTCAGTTACAACTCACTATCATTCATGTTTACAAGCAACATAAGCAAATGAACCTGGAAAATGACAGCACACTTAAAGATCATGAGTCTTCAATCTCACACTCTGGCAGGAATCTAGGAAACAGAAATAATCATGAACCTCGGCATTTCTGGGTGTCTAGAAAGTCAGTCCTCTTTGTCCCCAAAGGTAGTCAGCATGGCACTACCTTTGACTTTCTCTTTTGGAAATAACTATACCTTAGTTATGTCTGAATAGTTGATATATTAGCTACTGCTGATACAGTTATATCACTGCATATGTCAACAAAGAAGCGGTAGGAGAGGAATGACCTTGGGATAAAGGCGAATCCTGGAGCATCCTGGAAGGATGCTGGGCAGCACATGACTTTTTCCAAATATAGTAGGCAAGAAATGGAAGTGGTGGAGAAACACATGGACAATTCTCTCTCTTACAAGATTTTAAGTCCAGCAGAAAAGATCTGCCTGTTTTTAAGAGGAAAACACTGACGTGTCTTGCTGTTTGAAAAATGCCATATTTTCTAGTACTGTTTCAATTTCAATATGTGAAGAAATGAAATAACTTTACATGAATTATAAAACATCATATTACGTAAATTACAGTGTCTTCTATGAAGCAAAACCTTTCAAGGTATGAGGGAGCTTTTAATGTTTTATACTGTTTAT